CGAGCCGCCTGGGTTTGTACCCAAGCTCCGCCGCTTATGAGCTGTGTGGCCTCCGAAAAGTTCCTTGTGTCTCTGGGCCTCGGTTTCCTCGTCTGTACAAGGGGGAGGGCTGGGGTTGGCATTCAGTGAGTTCAAACGTGAAGGGAGGAGGAGGGGGACCAGCCATATCGCTGACTCCCCCGGTGCCAGCTGCCCCCCCACCGACCAGGGCGTCCCTTTCACCTCGCGCGTCACACTGTAGCCGCCGTCTCTAGCCCCACCCGCTGCCCTGCCCGTGCTCTCTGCCTTCGTGTGATCACTATGATGGCTCCCCAGGAACTCAGGAATGTAAACCTATTTTTTATTTTTTTTTGAGATTTATTTATGCATACAAGAACCGGGGTACAGGCCAGAGGTGTGGGGGTGGGTAAGAGGATTCACCAGAGACACAGCAGGGAACAGAACAGGCAGACTGACGAAATCCACTGCTGAGGGGAGCAGCGGGCGAGACAGGAGAGGTCTGCTGCGCCATGTGGGTAGCTCCCTGGCCGGGGATCGAACTCGCGCTGCAGAGGTTGCGGACAGCTTCATAGGTTGTGTCTTAACCCCTTGCGCCACCAGAGAGGCCCAGGAATGTAAACCTTTTTTAAGGAGCCAATCTGAGAGGCTCAACACCAGGGGCCGGGGCCGGGAGTGGAACACGGGGTGTGTGGCGATGGCTGCGTCACTGTTACTGCCCTCACAGGCGCGTCCTGCACGCGGAGCTGGGCTGGCATGTGACTGCTCAACTTCGGCGCAACCAGGTGCTGCCTGGTTCCCGTTCTATTGATAAAGACACCAGCCCCAAAACGGGACCCTGCGTGCCTGAGGAGGGAGCTGCCGCGGTGGCAGAGCCAGGTCTTCCCTGGTTCCTTGCATCAGAAATGTATCTTCTTAGCTAGCACGGCCTCCCCTTGAAGAGCCACTGGCTGCAGGAGGCACCTTGGTTTCAGAAATGTGAAAAAATGTGGACCTTCGGGCCCAAGCAGCTTGGCCTGCCCTTGGGCTCACACTCCGAGAGAGGACCGCAAGGAGGACTGCGCTTGCTGTGGCTGCTCTCAGGACAGCCAGGGGCCACGGGACAGTGCTGGGTCGGGGAATCCGGGAGGGCTTCCTGGAGAGGGTGAGACTAGAGCTGGGTCCAAAAAGATGATGTGTGACAGAGCTGGTGGGAAGCAGTGTTCCAGCTCAGAAATGATCCAAGCAAGGGAGGCGTGGGGGCCTGCGTGGGAGAGACTCTCCCTCCCTGTGGTCCTCACTGGCCTCGGCCCTACTGCCCTGATCATTCGCTGCACTGAGTGGCCGTGAGCACCCCACTTTCGGTGCCTCCACGGCTCTCTGTGGCCCCTGGTGTGCTGTGCCCTCGGCCTGGAGTCCCCGCCCCAGCCTCGTGCTCCCAGCTAACGTCTTGGTCATCTAGGTTCGTGTCCGGGCACCGTCTCTTTCGGGGTGCATCCCACACTGGGCCTTCAAGCCAGGCCCTGCGCTTGAGGATTGGTTGGCGGAGCCCCCAGTGCGACAAGCTCCTGTGCCTGGAGTGGCCCCCAGTCAAGAGAGGGGTACGGCCCTGCAGACAGGACCAGCCGTGGGGAGGCCCGTGTGGCAGGGCAGGGGCGCAGGTGACCGCCGGGCGAGGGCCTGTGCGGAGGCATCGTCGTCCAGGCGGGGCAGAAAGATGGCGCAGGGGTGGCCAAGGAAAGGGGATGTGCGCTTGAAGCTGGGGGGGGGGGGGGAGGCTACACAGGGAGCAGGGAATGGCGCGTGTGAGGTAAGTTCTGGAAATGGTGCGTCTGCGTCCCCGCTGGTGGCCAGCAGGCCTGTGGAGTCTGTGACTTGGATGTTGATCACGATTCTAAAGTGGCTTGTGTGGGAACTGACGTTGTGTGGGTGCTTCCCAGGGGCAGCGGCGGCAGGGGAGGCTGCCCGAGACCTGGGGACACTGGTGTCTAAGTGGTCTCGCCAAGGCCAAGGCTGCTGGCCTTGGCACAGGCTGTGCGATCTTGCTGGTGAAGGCCGCTGGGGTGGGTGACGGCTGGCCGGAGGGAAGGCCGGGTGTGGACGCCCCCTGACAGGAGCAAACTGCCCGGAGTCAGCAGCTGGCTCCAAGGAGGGCCAGGCCTGGGCCAGCGTCCAGTGAGATGGTGACACTATCCGCAGGGCCCGCGATCCTGCCTGACACAGGCCGAGACCAGGTGTCACAGGCCTGCGCAGAAGGACAGGGCAACGTCAGCTGAATGGCTTTTTTTGGAAATCTGTGACAGCTAAAAAAAAGTGTGATTTAAAGATACAATGTTCCGGTTTGGTAGATTAAAAAAATAAAAAAAGATAAACCAGAATCTTTCCAAGATGTGACGGGGTGAAATCATCTAATTTCTCCCTGAAAGCACGAGGACAAAGTCATTTTACAGCGTGGGGTCCGCACCCCCTGACCGTGCTCCCCTTCCAAGTCTAGAGCATCCACACGCCCCCCCTGGGGACACAGAGGATTTTCGCTTTATTCTAAGGGAGGAGCAAAGCTCCTTTCATGAAGAAAATGACCTTTCAAAGACGGGTGTCCACACACGGTAATGACAGGTAACTTGTAATTGTTCACATTCAGTCAATTTTATTTAGAGAGATAAAACCTAAAAGAAAAATTCCATCTGTACATATTTGTGTGTTTGAAAAGTCACTTGTGTAAAAAAAAAAAAAAAAAATAATAGTGGGAATAAAACTCCATTGGAGGGAAGAGAGAATTTAGCTAGTAAAATCTTTGCTGGAAAAATGCAAGAAGTCATTGTTATTCCAAGAAAAGAATATGAATATACATTTGCATATATATATATAAGCTCTCCGATGGCAGAAGGCAGAATTTTATGAAGGTATAAAAAATCAATATTCCCTATCAAATGCCATCTTGTGCATGAGCAGCCGCAACGGCCGAGGTGATGGGAACACAGACCCCTGCTGTCTGCGACAGCGCTTGTGGCAGAACGCGCCCTCGCTGTGCATTCCCGGATCCCCCCGCCTGCCCCGCCCGACAAGATATTGCCACTTCATTCCATGAGTGCACAAAGCTGTCTTAAGTATTTCTTGGGAAATACGTATTAAGAGTTTAAGTAAATGCAAACAAGGTTTTTGCTGCCTTTTCTCAAAAGCTCCTGCCTCAGGACACAGATGAGAACATCAGACGGGACCGGGCACGCGCAGTCTTTAGTCGCCGGCATCTTCTGCACGTGCGGCAGGTACAGTGGCCCAAGCGTGGTTATTCCAGCTCAAAACCCGTAACCCTCCAGCAGGGACTGCCAGTCGCTCACAAGGTGTTAGGAAATGTTCTGCTGGCTGGCTCCGTAAAATTGGCTGGATTCCCCACTGCCCCCCTGTTCTCCAACCTGAGGAGAAACATGCCGAAGGCCTGGGGTGACTTGACTTGCTGTAGAAAGTGAACGCAGCCCGGTGAGCCTCTCCCGCCCTGTCTACAGACTCACAGGGCCTTGACACCCCGAGTGTAGGTCACTTTAAATGATCTTCCTGCAGCAGCCCTTATTGCTCCCCCCAGTTAAAATGACTAACTGGAAGGGGAGCTTCAGGGGGGACCCTTGCTGAGTGGGCTGGGGGCAGGTCCCCCCACATCCGTTTACTACCCAGGCATCTAATTCTGAAAGTCAGCCACTGCCCAGGCCGCGAAGCTGGGCTTACTAGTCACCTCATCGAATTCCTCTTCATCTCTGACGCCCGGTTGCAAAGACAAACCAAGACAAAGCAGGAGTGCAGCAAACTACCGAGACAAGAGCCTTGTTGTTTTGAAAAATTTTAATTTTCTTGGGCCTTATGACAATGAGCTGCGGGTGTCCCGATGGGCAGCGTCATCAGCTGCTTGTTTTTTGTGCCTTATGACCTCACAAATGCAATGATCTTTCTGCTTCTCAGGGTTCTGCTGCATTGCCTGAGACTCTGTCCACTGCGTGGACTCAGCGGTTCCTTTGTAACCAACCGGTCCTGAAAGTTGGTTCGGGATGACAAATCTACTGTAAATCGCGATGAAATTTCCCTGGCAGGGCTGGGGGCACCTGGTTCCCAGTCGCCTAGGACAACTGTTGTGAAGGCCCGTGTGGGCGAGATTATGCAGGGCCGGAGCTGCAGGGAAGACGCAGCAAACGCACACAAACAATGCTGATTTTAAACCGTCAAGGGCTGCTGCGCTGGCGAATTGAACCACAGTTGGTGCCAATTTAGATAATGCGCCATCAGAATTCCAGCCTTGTGGCTCTGAGGGCTGTGCAGCGAGGCCCACAGCAGGTCTCGAGGAGGGCAGGGCCCCTGATGGGGGAATGTGAATAAGCTCGTCCTGCGCTGGAGGGGGCGGCAGAGGAGGGCTTTGGGGTTTTGGTTCTGGCCTCTTGGGTGAAATTTTTATATATGGCCAATTTACGTGCAAAGGCGACTTCTCATCAGCAAGAAGGCCAGCCGAGCTGTGGCTTGTACCGACCGCCTCATCTGCAGTGACAGAAGTCTCGGGAAAATAACAGCAAATGTGGGCCACTCAGCTCTTGGTTCGAATGTCTCAGAGGCAGAGGTGTTGGGGGGACAGTGATCTGTTAACACCCGAGAGGGCCTTCGTTTGTCTGGCAAACATGATTTAGGGATGGAGACCCTGTCTCCACAATCAGATGTGGTTGCTGGAGGAATAATCCAATCACAGGCGGGATCGGGCTGGGATGGAGCCCAACAGCCCACATCTACCACAGACACCAGCAAACACCCGGATTCAAAGGCACCCCAAGCACACCGTGCGTCGGGAGGATGTAGTCACGCACCCGGCAGAGACGTTCTCATATCATTTATTCCTTTTCAGATTTCCCTTCTCTCTGCTGTAAAGGGAGGGGGGCTCTACTGCGAATATAACGTAGGAGAGGTCCGAACTCTCTGGCTCATGGAAAGGCTGCAAATCCCCCAACCTGCCTGGCACACGCCTGCGTTTCCACGAGGGGGTGGTACGCAGCGGCTGTTTCTGGCAAATAAACACCGCAGTGGACGTGAAGAGGGCGGGAGGCGAGGGCAGTCATTTCTCCTTCAGCAGCTCCAGGAGGTCGCCTTCGAGTCCCTTCTCGCTCAGCTCGTCCAAGCTGTAGTAGCGGTGGACGATTTTGTCCGCGGTGACCACCACGACGCGGAGCCCGTGGGTGTCCCGGCCCAGCTGGCACCCGATGGCGGACGACACCACCATGTCGAGGTTCTGGTAGGTGCCCCCCGCGTTCCTGTGGTAGTGGCCCGAGAACACGGCTTTGACGCCTGCGGGGGAGGGAGAAAGACATTAGGGGGCCAAGGAGCTCCACGGTTCCCTGCGGGACAATGGCGCCCCGCTCTGTTAGATGCACAGACCAGAGGGTGCCTCTGACTCCCAGAACCTCCTCAAGCACAAGGCCAGGCAGGGCCTCCTCAGGGGCTTGCCAGGACAGCAGACGGGAGGGAGCCGGGAGGAGGGAGAGGAAGCCGGGACTTCGGGAGAGAGAAAGTCAGGGGAGAAAACCCCTGGGGGCCTGGGAGTCAGAAGGTGTAAGTCCAGTGAGACACCGTGTGCGTGCAGGGCTCTCTCTGAGATGCACAGCACGGGCGACGCCGACTGGGCCTCCTCCCTCCAAACGCTGCACCACGGGGAGGAGCGGTGAAGGAGCCCAAGGGACAGAGGCGGCCAGAGCCCGGGCACCCACGCGGGGCGGGGCGGAGTGGCAGGGCGCTCCCTCTGACCACACAGTGGGGACCAGAGCGCTTTCTGCAGGAGGGACCTGGGGGACCCGGGGTCCGTGGGCCTCCGCGCATGGATGGAGGAGCTGGGGACCACAGTGCTGCGGCCCTGCCAGGCAGGGCCTGCCCACAGCCCCTGTTCGTGACGTTTCCTTGTTTCCACAGCCGTCACCTCGCCACGGCCAGTTTCAGTGAGCGCTGTGGGGCGCTGAGCGGAAGGGGCCGCCGAGCGCATCACGACAGAGCAGCCTCCCGGGCTCCCCACCCTCCGCGCGCAGCCACGGGCACAGGCGACAGTAACATAAAGCAAGAGGGAAGGAAATGGCAAGGGCTGAGAATTTGCCACCTTTGCTTTTTAGTAAAATTTATGTAATGATGAGTTTGCATCATTTAATTTTCAGTAGTGTCTGTCTAGTCACCAGCTCGCAAAATTCCTTAACATCTAGCCACCGGCTTTCCTGAGCGGCTGTAGCGCAGGGCCGGGTTGGGGCGAGTGCCCACTGGGGTCGAGGAAGGAAACACAGACGCAGGTTCAAGTCCTGGGACGGAGAGACCTCTTCCCAGTGTCATCCCGGGGAGCCAGGGTGGGGGGAACCCCCATCCCTGGACAGGGGGTGCATCCAGAAGAAAGTGAGGGGTCAACCGAAACAGAAAACCCTTCGACAAACTCCCCCTGAAACTCTGGCCCGCAATGAAGTCAGACTGCAAACCCCGCCTGCAGCAACAGGACCCTCCAGGTGCAGCCAGTGATAGAAAATCAAGCGACAGATACTCATAGCAAATGCTCAGGTGTCCTCCGAGGCACCGTGTGTGAGGCCCACGGCACGTTCTCGTGTGCGTACTGAAAAGCAGCAGGTCTGCATCAAAAGGCACCAAATACATTATCAGGTACGAACAACGAGGTGCAGAGAGGTGTCATGGGATCCTGCAAACTAAACACAATGGGCCTAGAAGGGGGCGTGTGCATGTGCACGGACACCCCCTCCCTGAACGGGAGGAATGGCCACTAAACTGCTATGCGTGCTGGCGATCTCATGGACAGGGAGATGGTGGGTTGGGGGGGGTGCCACTCTCCGCCCTTTCTTGTTACTGTCATGTTTTTAGTGATCAGGGATTGACTTGGTGACCAGGGACAAAGCCCCAAGGTGACAGATGTGGCCCGGGGAAGGATGAAGGGGGTGGAGATGCCCCCAGCAGGGCCCGAGCTGGGCACCCCGTGGGCCTGAGCCCAATCGGAGAAGTGTCAGCCGCTGTCACAGGCCGGGGGCCACAGAGGGCACGCTCCCCTAAGGCCTGCGGAGCTTGCGAGGCTGTGCAGGGGCCCCAGGGGCCCCAGTGGGGTGATGGCTGTAGGACCCACTGGGAGGCCTCGCGGAGGGCAGAACCACTTAGCATTATTATTATTCCGTTGTATGCTAAATTATGTTCATGAGATTTGGCTCTTCATGCCTAATTCCTAGTTGCATTCGCTACTATTCTGGAAGGAATGTTTGGCAATTTTCAAAGTAGCTCGCATTAGCCATAATTAGCTGTGAAAAGCTCATTTATGTTTAAATTTCACGCCATGTTTATTGGCATTCGCGCAGACAGAGGTGTTCGTGGGGCATGGTCAAGTGACCCGGGCCTGCTCACTGGGCAGTGGACAGCTGGCTTCTCTGCAACACGGGGGTTCCATGCACCCCCTCCCAGGCCCCGGGGGCTCATCGTTCATAGTTAACGTTCCAAGTCACAGAAACATGGCTCATGACGCAAGCAGCCTAAAGAGGCCTGGAAATACAGGAGACGGTCAGCACCAGGGGGGTTCAGAGCCACCTCCCCTCTGGAAAAGGACATTTTCCACCCCTTACAACTGGGGGGGTTCCCTCTCCATTACCTGACATTCTGGGGACCTGACCCAGAAATCACGCAATGGGCATGTCCCATGTTACAGAGCGACGGCGAGGTGGGGGCCGACGTCTGTCCCAGAACAGGGAGAACTGGGTGACTCCCAACCTCTGGGTTCTGGGCTGAGGGCAGGGCTCCGGGACAGTCCTGTCTGGCCCACCGAGAACTGAAACGGGGTGGGGTGTGGCGGTGGGGGCGTGCTGTCGGGGGGGAGATGGGGGCCAGTGAGTCTCAGGAAAGGCCAGGGACTGGACGCCGGGACGCTGGTGCTCAGCCCCTGGTGCCGAACTGCACAGCTTCAGTACCTTTTACCTGATACCCGTAGGATCAGGATCCCCAGTATTTCTATTTCTCAGAGAACTCAAGAACCCAGAATCCGGGAACAACTTGGGTGGGAACCCAGAACCTCTTCTCGAACCAGAACTGGAAGAATTTGGTAGTGGCCGCTTCCGAGTTCATTTCCACGCACCTGGGAACGTAAGGAGACCTGAATCCTGATTACACCGCAGTCCTGCCTCGACTAAGGGCAAGCATGGAGGTGGGCGGGACGGGGCTGGGCCTGCAGAGGAGAGCGGCGGACGCAGGGACTCTTCATCCAGGCTCTTAGCACCCTCCCCGCCGGGACTACCTCCTAAGGACACGAATCATCTCCATGTAACAGACAGAAAACAGAGCAGAGAAGCCAAGAAACTAAGGCAAAGTCACACAGCTAAGAAACAGGCGGCCAGCATTAGACCCTGACCACTCCGACGTCAGGGCCCCAGTTCTCAATCAGCCTTGCAGACTCGGCTCCTGCTCTCCTTTGACACCGTGGCCAGGTTACTGGCCTTTGGCATTTCCTCATCTGAAAGCGGTCTCCTGGGTGGCAGGGAGGGTGGTCATAAGGTACCAGAACACAGCGGACGCTTGTCATCCCCTTCCAGGCAAGGCCAGGAGCTCACAGCCGGGGGTGCAGAGTGGTGGCACACAGGCCCCCCCGCCTGGGCCGCCACGGGCAGGCTCCTGGCCCAGCCTAGTTCCTCACGCTTCACGCCGACCGGCCACGAGGACTTGAAGACGCTTTACCCGTCTCGGCTTTCTATTAGCTTCTGATGGAGAAGCATTGATTCCCAACCCGATGGAGGTGAGGGATGTATTAATAAATCATGGCTTCCCTGGCAGGGGATTGATTCCGGCGGTGTTTTCAAGAGTCGAGCAGAATTTCCATTCAGCCGCTCATCAGTCATCCGCGGCTGGCGTGCCGTTACGCTTCCTTAATTGAGTATTACGTATAGATTGTTTTTGAATTATGAACTGCTGGGAGGGGATGACAAGCATCTCCTTAGATCACTGCCAGGAGAAGAATTCCCAGCGCACACAGCCTCCCATCCTCCGAGCACGGCTTCGGTGGCCTCGGCGTCCCCTACATTTCTCTGCGGCATCATGTCACAGAGATGCTATAAAAGCTATTTTTAAGCTGTCTTGATTCAAATTCGTTTCCAATCAGAGGATTGGGAGGCAATCCCCTCATCATTTAATATTCCAGTACCAGAAACTCGCCTCCAATCCGCCGGCAAGTCAGGCTGCACCCTGGTGCGGGTGGATATTAGAGACTGGCCTGAGGTGCGTGGCCACTGCCTCCGGCTGATTGGACGGTTTTCACTGCCGTCCTGCCTGAGCACACGCTCGGGGAAGGGCCTTGCATCTCTACACTGTCAGCTATAACGGTGAAAATTGTGTTGCAAATCATTAGTCACACTCAATTTATTCTGCCTCGGCGGTAAGGAAAAAAAAAATGTGACTTGTAATAAAATAAAAAGGCTGGGAGCAAAGGTACAGAAAGCAGGGGTACCAGGCCCCCCAGGTGGGGATCCCTAAGCAGGCAGCCCCCCGGAGAGGAGCTGCAGCCCAGGGCAGCCGGGGGGCGAAGCAGAGACAGACAGATGTTACTTGGTCTGGGAGACGCAGCTGTTAACAGGAATCAGGGCTAAGACACCCCCCCCACCCCCAGACTCCGTCAGGATGAGGTTCTCTGCCAAGAAGTTAGTTTTGATGCTTGGGGAGTCCAGGCTCTAAACCAGCCTGATGGGCCGGTCACTGGCCTGCATCGCTCTGAGCGCCTGAGTGCCGGCCGTGGGGGAGGAAAGGGGCCACCTCTCCATCTTGGGGGTCTGGGGGAGGCAGGATGCTGCTGCTCCGGGGGACTGAGGCGACAAACACCTGCGAAGCTCCCTGGAGGAGGCCCACGTGGGTGGGAGCACCGGGAATCCGCCTCCGGCTCTGCGGGAGTGGGGAGGCTCAAGCAGAGCCCTAAGGACGGGCTGAGGCTAGATGGACGCAAGGGCGGAGCCCAGCGATGCCTCCCCCTGCACCCCTTCCAGCTCCTGCCTGTCACCGGCCCAAACCCTCCCTCCCCCAAGCTCCCGGCACTTGAGTGCAGTGGAAAGACATTTTCATGGGTCTTCTCTTGAGACTCACGCACAGCCTAACCGACCCGGGAGACGCACGTTTCTGTGAGGGCCTGTCTGGAACCGCCCCTGGCCGTGTGGCCCTGCCGCCTCCTCGTCCTTCCCCACCCGCAGCAGGTGTGGAAGCAGCCACGGAACCTGCAGGCCAGGCCCGAGTCAGTCAAGTTGTTTTACTGGTGAAATGAATGCAAAACTCTTATTCATAAAAATGGGCGGAGGGCACCCCCTCAGAAGGGGGGAAAGCAGAGCAACTGAAAAACATACACTTGGTGATCGAAGGCCAGTGTTGATGGTCTGGATCCTTCAGAAATTGTCCGGATCCTTCGAAAGCTCCGCGCTCCTCAGAAGTAAAGGAAACGCAGAGGGAGAGGGATTCGTACTTGGGGTCAGGGGAACGGCGGGGGGCCGCCCTGACGGGACCCTAGCTCATCTGCGGGCGGGCGAGGACGCGCCTCCTGGGGTCCTGCTATTTGGCCGCTGCCCTGCTGTGCCCGGACAGGATGGGATGGCCCAGCAGTGGAAATGACCTTCCCCAAGGGCAGCTCCTGCGTGAACGCCCCGAGACTGTGCCTTTACTTGCCTGCTTTTACTTTTATTTTACCCCGGATTTCCCACATCAATTACACTCTCCTTGCACCCCCAGAATAACAGACAGAACTCAGTCTTCCTCTCGCAAGGCTCCCCGTACTGAGCCTACAAGTGGGTGGGAGAGGGAGATGAAACCCCAACGCCGGGGCAGAGACGCTGCTGGGAGGACACCGGGGCTGGGCCCCCTGCGCAGGCCCCTGGGCTCGGGGGCAAGCGAGACACCGGTGGGGTGGTCACGCGACACCCCTTGGGAGGACGGAGCAGCCGAGAGTCGCCCCCACCCCAGCACCGCTGCTCTCACGCTCCCGGGTCAGGAGCCGCGTGGCTGGGAAACAGTCCACCCTGGGCCGGGGGCGCCGCCGTCCAGTGGCCGGGCGAGGGCACACCCTGCCCCGGGAGAAGGGAGCAGCCCCTTGCAGACTCCCCTGGTTCTCTTCTCATAGGAGGCTGTGCCCAACTTTTAAATTCAGGATCCCCCTTCCTGACGCCCTGGGATTTCAAAACCTTGCTGGGATGGGCGGCGGGGCGGGGCGGGGCGGGGGCAGGGAGCGAAGCCCACATAGAAAAAGACAAGATGACCCTGACGCCAGGACCGCTGACACCGCCAAGCCTAAACTGAAGCCATAAACAGGAGGAAACAACTCGGCTCCACCCAAAACCACTTTGTTCCGCCTAAACCTGTTTCTCCCCCCTGCCAACCCAGTTTTCCTGCCCGACCTCTCCTCACCCTCTGAAAGGGACATCTCTCCCCACAACGGGCGCGGCTTCACGGACCCCCACCTTGGGTCCGTGAGGCCCGCCCTGGGCGCGATAAATTTCCCCTTCCTTTGAGAAACAGCCCGGCTCTCCTGTTCTCTGCCGCGCCGGGCCTTCCAGGCTGTCTCTCATTAGCCCCAGCACTTGCTCGCCAGAAGGGCTGTGGCCACTCAGGGCAGGGGCCCGGGAACGTGGTGCGAGCTCTGCTCTGCCACGGCCAAGCCCGCCAACCTGTCCGAGCCTCAGTTTCCCCGCCGGGAGGGAGGACTAGAGCAACCACCCCCAGGGAGGCTGCCCGGCTGGAGTGAGACCCAGGGCCACGCCCAAGGCCGCGCGGCAGGAAGCGGCGTGGGCCGCTCAGGCGGCTCGGTAATTACACTTTCCTCCAGCCCTCTCTCAGGATCGGATCAGAAGATCTTTTTTTCATTTGCGCAAATTACATCTTTTTTCGCTATTCATAATTTCCTCTTTATTTTTGAAAGAAGATGGCAAGCATGCGTGTGAGCTGGAGCGCGGGGCACACATCAAGGTTTCCATCCAGAATGGACAATTTTCCAGATTTCCATTACCCGGTTTCCATGCCCCATCTTAAACACAGCTGCCAGGACAAGAGACTCATTAAAAAGATTGTTTTGACTGACGGCATGTTCATGCATCAAATTGGAAATCTGTCCAAAAATACTCGAGGGAGGTAGACAGAGGTGGCGAGAAGCCACGGAATGGAGATATTTGGCAGAGCGCTGCCAGTTAAACTCACTGGGGGGGGGGGGGCTGTGGCCAGCTCAGCCCGGCCGGGGGGCCAGGACAGGGGCATGCGGCCGGGGCCCCGGGAGGACCTGGGAAAGTCAGTGTCCACTGTGGTAGCTGGAGAGAGATTCCTTAGCGAGCACGCCGCTCACCACGGTAGCATGTTTTCCCTCACGGAAGCTTCTCCTCCGCCCCAGGAAGGCCCCCACTCCTGTGCTGAAGGAACAGACTAGAGCTGCACGATCACGGACTGTTAGACAGACGGAGGAGGGCACAGAGAAGGGGGTGGGTGGGTGCACAGATGGATGGACAGACGGACGACAGATGGAAGGACGGACAGTGAAGGAAGATAAGAAACTTGCAGCAGCTCATAAGCTGTGTTTTACCAGGTGTCCTGGAGGAGAAACGCGAATCTCCTCTTCTGCCCGTATCCTCTAAGGGAGGAGGAGAGTTCCAGAATGTTCTGATGTCACTAAAGAACGATCATGCGCCTTAGAGGAGTCCTGATGTTACTCGGAAGAGAGCAGAAGCCTGAGGTGTGTGACAGGCGTTGATTTTGAGTCCTGTCTGTTACTTAAATGCTCCTTTACCCCCCCCCCAACATGTGTTTCCTTGATTTTAAAAAGGGCATAGTAGATAATAATAATAATACTGGCGGCGTCGTGGGTTTCAGAGCAGATGTGTCTGACCCCAGCGCAGGCTCCCTGTCACACCTGGGGACACGCTGCTTTTCAGCACAGGTCTTGAGACAAGGTGTGAACAGGGGCTTCTCTCTTCCTCGTTACTGAGACCGGCCAGGGCCCTCGCCCTCCTTTTTCCTCTTTGCTGAAAGGATTCTGACTCTGTGCGGGGAAATGCCCCACCCTGGGAGGTCGGGGGCCGCCCCCCAGAGCCTGGCCCGGGCAGCCGTGACCATTCTCCTCCCACGGCCACAGGGGAAAGGGCCTGCGCCAGGTCCTGGATACAGAAGGTGGGAGGGCTGGGGGAGGGGGTTCTAGGGAAGTTTTGGTTTCTTTTCCAGAGTCCCCTTTTCTGCCTCTGGGGACTGCCTAGTCAGAAGGTGCCACCCAAAGTGGGGCTGCCCCCTGGGGAAGTCAGTCCCAGGAAGGGCCACCTCTGGGGGGAGTTGAGCAGCATCTGAGCAAAATCCGGGTCTCTGAGTTAGCCCGGCGGAGAGCCGGGCCCGGGCCCAGTCTTCACGACACAGATAACAGACTCCCGCACTCTGAGCTGGACCAGGCCACGGCCCAGAGGAACCAGTCACTGTCTTTTGGGGTGGACGATAATTTGGTGTTGGACATTGTGTAGGTCGGCGTTTGGGGGCTTAGAAGAGAACGAAGTTAGCTGCTCCCCGAGGACGCCCTGGGGGGAGGGGGAGCGCTGGGGGCCCAGCGTGCCCCACTGTCCCGGCATCCTCTTGTGAAATCACCTTCCCAAGCACCACGTCCTCGGAACCCCGGTGGCGCCGAGGCCCAGGGGAGGTGGCGCTCGAGACTCTGGGCCATGTCTACGCGCCAACTCAGAAGGGAGAAAACCACCGCACGGCTCAGACGCAGTCTGTGGGTTAAAAGGCCCCAAACAGGGTCAACCTAAAAGAAAGAAAGAAAATCTTTTCCTCCTTGGAGTTGAGCTTCTCACTCCAGGCTGGAAGGAGAAGGCGTGACAGTGCTAAGTGGCACAAATTTTTGGAAAGAGTTTGTGGCGCTGTCGTTGTTATCCTTCAGTATTAAAGTATTCAGTGTCCACGGTGACGGGTCTTAGGCGCGTGGAGGGCAGGGCCAGGTCTGTCTGCTTATCAGGTGTGAGCTCAGGGAGCTGCTTGCATTCTGAAAAGGCACACTGAGCTTACGTAAGCAGCGGGGCAAGCGCCTGAATTTTGCTGCGTGGCCCACAAAGCCTAAGAGTCTATTATGTGGCCCTTTACAGAAACGGCCTGCCGGCTCCTGACCTACACTTCTGTAGAGGGATTCTCTTTATGATTCTTTTTCATTTTTTGAGAAATTTAGAAGATCCAGATGAGCACAAAATAATATAACATTTACATTCCCACCACCCACAGACTACAAATATTAACATCTTGTAAGATCCGTTTTCGGAGCTTTTAAAAAGAAAATATTATAATTGTATAATTTTATATAATTATCGTCCAAATCCCCCTCCACCGCCCCCTGCTGGCCCAGAAGCTTTAGCTTCCAGGAGTGACACCTAAGGTCGGTGACCTTGACAAGGTCAGGCCAGCGACTCCCCTCACTCGCCACAGGGCAGGGTGCGCGGATCCCGAGGGAGAGCTCCCCGGGAAAGCAGTCTTGCCCACCATCTGCCCTGGCAACAGGAGCAGGCAAAGGACTTGCACATCATCAAATGTGACACCTGGACACAGAAACTTAAACATTAGAAACCAAAATCTCTACAGGGTCATGATGTCCCAGGCTGACGCCTCTACACTGACGTGAGTTCTCTGCTTCCTTCCAGACTTTGTTCCCCGGAACCTGAGCTTCTTGGGGGCACGGCCAGTGCCCGCTCAACTTGGTTCCCCTAGTTTCCAAATGCAGGGAACATACACGATACATGCTATGAACATAGCAATAGACAAGATACCTGCAGACTCAAGAGCTCCCCTATCTCCACTCAATGCCCAACATCCCCAACAAAACATGGCCCGCGCTCCCACCTGGTCTGACCAAGACCATTACAGGCATCCACCTGACAAATTTAAACCATGCAAGCATTCTTAAGATTTCTGCCTGGTTATGCAGAAGGAGTTCACGGCACTAGTCCATATCCATGAGGAAAAGCAGAGACGACTTAAACGTCCAGTAATGGCAAAAGAGTTAAATTAACAAGATATGTCAAAGTAATCCAAAATATCTGGTTTGGGGAAATTTTTTAATGCTATGAGGTAATGATGTGTATGTCAAAGGTCATCATGTATGACCTGATGATATGCTTCGAAAATGCCCCTATGCCATCACCTCAGCTCTAGGAAGGAACTTCTCAGCCACACGAAACCACCGATGAATGGAAGCCTTGTAGGCCCAGTCACAATGAACCCCCCCACTGTGTAACCAGGCAGATGGCACCCTGGGGTGAAGTCGCTCATCACGCTAAAGACACAGGAGTCCCCAAAGCCTAAGAAGGTGACGTGGAGGCACTGCTGAAATCACAGGAAAAGTCATCGACAAACAAGACTCTGGCGGAATAAGCACCCCCGCCCCAGAGGGCAACGCTTGCAGTATTGCTGGATTCAGAAAAAGACCCCAAGGAAAACTGGTAAAACCTGCAAATACTTTTTTGTCTCTTACAAAAATGACGCCCATTGACACCCCCGCCAGTGGCAAACGCAAAGTGCAGGACACTGTCAGACAAAAGTTTCAGACCAAGTCGACCCCGACACAGGTTTTGTTCGATTCATCTCTCTGTGCCTCAGTGTCCTTGCCCATGAAATCAGAAGCCTGCAGAGTGGTGGAAGCAAGTGGTGACTGTCACTGTAGGGTTAACTGTACTGTAAGTGGCTTGTGGAGTAAAGCTGGGGGAAGCTGGAGACCCTGGGGTGCACCGTGAGGCTCCCTCTGAGGCATTCTGAGGAGCAGTAGAAACACTTGGGGTTCACTCTGACACACCCAGGAGCGGTGTCAATACATGCGAGAAGGAAACAGATTCCACAGCATCCATGTGTCTGACACTGAATCACATCGACCCTGGGGCTGTCACCGGCACCACAGGGAGCAACCCCGGGGGGAGGTGCAGGGTCATCTCAGACCCCACAGAAGCTGAGGCCTCGCTGGCCTGCCCCATAGCGCTGCCACCCGTGATTCAGCCTCTCGGACCTGGGTTTGCTTGTGGGTGGAACGGAGAGAAGCAGCCCCTCGGGGTGTGTGGGTTGTGGGGACAATGCCCCGGTGGATTGTCCACATGTGAACTTTTTGTTAAGTAAAATAGGGCGAGTTCTAGCTTGTTACACAGCAATATTCTAGATTGTTGACATATTCTGTGCTGGCCTTAGCAAGGGCAAAGGCCTTAGAAATGAAGGTTCGTTCAGAAACCCTCAGAACTCCGAGGGGAAGTAAGAGAGTTTGGGTGAGCTCGGGATATTCCAGTCTCACTGAGGAATCCCGCTGCTCATTTGGGAATGACACTAATTGCTATTTTTAAAACATGACCTAAAAAAGAGAAGATACAATATTTTGACTTTATCAACTTAAGTAGACACTGCTGGTTCCCAAGCACTCGTGGCTCCTTTTTGAAATGCTGCAATGGGAGTTTTCAACAAAATCTTTAGTTTTTAGGTTAGGAGTAACCCCATGGGCCCAGCCTCTGACTGGCTGTATTGGTTCCTGGCCTCAGGGCCCAGGGCCCGACACCGGCCCAGGCTGTTTGTTGAGTGAATAAATGTTGACTTAACTTGCGAACTGCAGCACGCATTTACACGTGCCAGACTTGCAACTTGTAAATATTTACTATCAGGACTGGATTTTAACTTTAATTAGCCCAACTGTTAAGGATATCTCTGAAGTGAGAAGCATAATCCATCACTGCACACCAGCTGTAGCTTCGGTGGCTGGTCTTTGTCTGGGTTTGCAGGGAGCAGGACACAGATAGGGAATGGATGAGGAGCAAAGCTTATCTCCAGTGGAGAACTGTCGGAAGCGTAATGCAGACCAAAGCCAGGAATGATGAATTCCAGACCAGGCTGGAATTAAGGGAGGCAAACCCCCTTTAGCTGATATCCCCTAAAAACTCTTGGGGGGGGGGTCTCAGGATGCTCAAAAGGAGATTTGAGGTTTTGTACTTGAAGGTGAAAAAAAGAATCACTAAGATGGTTCTTTAAAAACCATTTTAGGGGCCTCCCTGGTGGCTCAGGGGTTAAAGTCTCAGCACTATCAAGCTATCGCCAGCCTCTGAGGCAAGAGTTCAATCCCCTGCCAGGGAGCTGACCCACATGGCGCTGCAGACCTCTCCTGTCTCCCTGCTGCTCCCCTCAGCAGTGTGTTTCAGTTGATCTGCCTGTTCTGCTCCCCACTCTGTCTCTGGTGAATCCTCTCACCCCCGCACCTCTGGCCTGTACCCCAGCTCTTGGATGCATAAAAAAAATTAAGGGCAAAGAAAACATTTTAAATGGAGAGCATCGCAAGGCGGCCACTGTCCAGTGAGCCCTTATGCCAGATTCAGGAAACTAGAGCCATGACTCGACGCATTCAAAGGCTCAGCCACCAACGGGGCACTGGTGAGGTCTAAGCCCTGAAAAACAGAGTCAAAGTCTATCACTGAATTCCATAGAGAACTTCCAGCTAGTGCAGGGCTTCCTAACCTACTAGCCGAATACCCGCTTTGGTGAAACTGGAAACAATTCCTCACTCACCCAGAACAGTCCTGGCAGCCTGGAAACACTTGATCTGCCCGCGCGTGTCCCTGCAGTCCAGAGAGGTTTTCTGGTCTAGCTTCACTTTCTATTGTTAGCATTACAAAGAGTTGCTAATTCCTTCCTTTTCAATTCACAAAGCCAAGTCAGCAAACAGCAGGGGGATCCCCAAAACTTGGGGCCTCTTCAGCTGGAGGGTCTCACCAACCCCTCAAGCAGACCCGACCCTCTCGCCAGCGCCCAAGGTCGCAAGTGCTCTAGCCAGGGGGCAGACCCTGACTGGGCACGTGTGCCTGCCGGGCTCCCGCGAGGCCACCCTTCCCCAGCACCCACGTGTGCCCAGTCCAGTGCCAGGTGGGCTTTTGGCACTTGAACCAGGACGAGGCTGTTTGCCGCTAGCAGGTCCTTTCTGTTGCTTCTCACACGAGCCCTGAGGCTGGGCAGACGCCCTCGGTGGAGAGGCTGCTCACCCTTTAGCTGGGGAGGGGGCAGCACAGGGGACGGAAGCCCCAGGTCTGTTGGACACCCGAGCCTGTTGCTCACCCTTCGGCTACACGGCCTCTGGCAGCCCACACACCCCTCCCGGGCTAGCCCCGCCTGCACACGCCCCAGTCTTTACCCGATGCCCCTCTGTGGCTGGCGGAGCTCGCTGTTTATCAACACATGTGAAAAGAAACACCCATGTGTTAGATTTTAGTGACCCCGTGTCCCCTCCCTCCCCCAGACCCACATCCATCACGGGCCCCAGGGTACGTGCCTCCCCGGGCCCGGCCTCGTGGGTGAGTTGCATGTACTGCGGTGGGGTCTCGGGAGGTCCCTGCCCGGCTCTGTGACATTTTACGGGAACACAGCCTTGCCCACATGCACCCGTGGCGGTGGCAGCTACAAAGGCAGAGTCAAGTGGTTGTCAAAGAGATCTGGGCCTGAAATGTGGCTGTCTGACCCTTTGCAGGAAGTCAGAGGACAAAGGCCAATTTGTGGTTCGGCTGATAAGTAGACTGGGATCAAGTCTGCTTTAACTCTACTTAACTCACTTTATTTATTGAGGGGCTATGATGCAGCAGTTTTGGCCAGGGACTGGGCTTGCAGTGGTCCACAAAGCCAGGACCCCATGTCCTGGAGGTATTCTAGGATGGAACCAAGCGGTTTCCCCACCACTCAGCAGGACACTGGCGTGAGCCTGGATGTCGGATTTTTCCTAGAGAGGGAAGCCAGGAACTCTTGGCCTTTTCGTTCTTTAAAACTTTGAAATTTTAAAACCAGAATCCATGGGCTGAGATGGTTCTGGTTTTTTTTTTTTTTTTTAAAGCATAAATACTAGAGATGAAGCTATAATTCTGTGAAATTGCTCATTAATTCCGCCAGAAATCAACTTACTGGAGTTTTTCCCGGTGGCCACAATTCCCCACAACACCCTTTTAACCTGTGCTGAGAGAGGGGAGAACAGGAAAGGTACCGCGAGATCAAGGAGAGCAGGGTCAGCGAAAGCACGAGGCTTTTGTTTTTAAGGCTGGGTTTATAAATTGGAATCCTATTACCTGGGTCACACCGTAACCTGCTGCTGGAAAAAGGCAGGAGGGCAGGAGACAACAGACAGATCCACCAAGGTCTCATTATCCACTCGCTGTCTCTGCAACACCAACGAGGTATCAGGTGAATTAGGGGAGAAACTCATTTCTACATCCTGTGGATGCGGTGAAATCGACTATCCCGCGGCGGAGCGGAGGGAGCGGGGGGTGCGGGTGGGCGCCCATCTGCGCATCTGTCCTGCCCTGATAACTGAGTATTTGTACTGGCTATAGATGGCGCTTTTTGGAACGTACAAAGAAGATTTCTTTCTTTTTTTTTATTATTGAGCTTCAAAAGGAGCTGAATGCATCCGTTTCTAGGGAAACCTGAGCTTGAGCACAGGCTCCCGGAGGCCGCATCCCAACACGCCTGCCCGGGGCCTATTGTGCGGGGCGCCCCTCCACCTCCCCCACCTCGCCCCATTTAAAAAATTAATGCCACAATGTGAGATGATTGTTGATGTTCGCTATTAAATCATTTATTCATCCCACACAATGATTCAGAATTATTCATTAAGCTTGCTGGAAGGGAACGGGGTTTTACCTCCACGGTGGAGGGGGGGGTGCTCTTTACAAGGATATTTAATAACAACACAATTATCATAATTAGAAGCTACCCTGATATTCTGATGAGCTTTTGACATATTTTTGAGTACTGGCATGTTGGTACAAGGAGATAAATGAGACTGAGTAGTCTTAGGGAATAATGTATCGCTGAGGGAAAGCCGGAGGCAGCGTGAAATACCATCTGCATCACCACCCCCGGCTGGATCCTGGTCTTTAAGTTCATGCATTTTACAAAATGTCACTTGCACTTCTGGCTTTCCAAAATGAGTGCAAATCACACTGTTGCGACCGGGCAGTCCTCTGCAGTTGTGATCCGGGCGCACACGTCCTGCTGAAGAGCCCAAGCTTCCAGGCTCGGCGGCTCAGCTTCACCTACTGGAAGCTGTGTCCCCCCGGGACCCGCCTCCCCGGACCTGGCTGTGCCTGTGCTGTGTTGGCAAGGCCCCAGACAGAGGCCTGGCCAGTAACAGAAGCAGGAATACACGCCGTCTGACCACGGCTGGTCAGAGCGGAGAGCGAGAGCGGCTCCGGGACGCGTGTGCCTCGCTGGACACATGATGCAAACAGAGCCCCCCGGGGCATTAGCTGTTCTCTCTGGCACTGCTCTCAGCTCCAGACCAGGATCCGGGGCGCTGAGGCCAGCAAAACACCGAGTTCCCTGGTCAACGTGACGGTTCACCTCACCACCCCAGGCCTGGCGTGAAACTTCAAAACCTTCCCTGCAAGTTTTCCTACTTCATCTCCAGAAAAGGTTGGAAAATGTCTCCCATTATGCAAGCTTTGCGTTACATGTCTCAAAAATACAGAAGGGCCTATTGTACTCTTCACAAGTAAATCTGAACATATTTAATGCTCTAAGATGAGAAGAGCGGCGTCAGGGATGACTTTCTAGATGCACGCTCCCGCTGGGCCAGGACACCGCCCTACTGCTCCCTCCGCCACCCAATGAAGAGACGTAATTAAATTCTAGAGTTTGATGAACACACTCGGGAAGGATCTGAAAGGAGAGATTAGGACCAAAACAAGAGACACGACAGTTGTGAAAACTGGGGTCCAGCCACGTCACTGGTAACCAGGGCCTGGCTCAGAAGGGGATTCGTGCAGGAGCCTGCAGGGGCTGCCAGGAGGAGAAAGGGGTGGGGGCCAGGGCTGGGCAGAGCGCCCAGAAGCTGAGCTCTCGAGAGGAAGCATGTGCGTGCACGGCAGAGGTGTGATTAGCTAAACTTTACGGCAGTTTAAGATCTGACTGGACACCCCTCTCCCTGATTCTGGAGAACTTGGTCCACCTGACAGAAAGAAAGCTGTGGGGCCCCAGGACCCACATGCAGCCCCGCCACAGCCAGCACTGAGGAAGCCTGGCTCTCACATAGCCTGTCCGCGATCCGAGATCAGCTCCGGCTTCCGGGGGGACGAGAGCCCCCTGGCATCTTCCCTTTTCCAAGGGAACACAGCACCACGCCCTGACCCCCAAGGCCCCAGGAGCCCCTACCCGCAGTCCCCGACCCCACCCTCAAGGGTGAGAGCCATCACGACTCGAGCAGCTGGTGGGCAGGAGCGGCCCTTCAGGCAGTGCTCACGATGTCCTGGGATGGCTGCTACTCCCCTCGTTCTGTTTCGCAGGTGTGGAGACCGCGGCTCAGAGGGTGTGGCAGCTGGCTCCAGGCCACGGGAGAAGCTAGGATTAGAACCCATGTCTATGCCCCATCCCCTCCCACCTCTGCTAGGCTGGAGGGGGCAGAAGGAGCCGGGAACCGCTTCCGCAGACCGCCCGTCCTCCCAGATGCCCGGGCCCAGCGGATACCTGCTATGGCCAGCTTGTCCGCCATCTCCCTGCGGACGGCGGTGGTGAGGTTGAAGTAGTCGTCCTCCTCGTCGACGCTCTGCAGGAACAGCGGGATGTGCTGGAAGACCACGGCGTGTTGGCACTGCCGCTGCCCCGCCAGGCGCAGCTGCTGGTCCAGCCACTGGTCCTGGGCCTGCTTCAGGGCGGGGCACTGGGAGGCGTCGAACAGGAGCTGGGAGTTGAGGACGAGGAACAGGACGCCCCCGACCCAGAAGCTGAAGTAGTCGTCACCCCAGGTCTGGCAGAACTCGGCGATGGTCTCGGCCGTGGGGACGTTGCCCACGTCGTGGTTGCCGCTGACCAGGACCAGCGGGATCTCGGGGTCCACCTGCCGCAGCACTCGCTGCAGGTCCTCCGTCTGCTCCTTCCGCCAGGGCGTCCCTGCAAGAGCAAGAGCGAGGGTCCCGTCCTGAAGCGTGAGGCTGTCTGCGCGGCGCTTCCCCACAAGCAGCGAGAGAATCGCCTAGAAGCCCACCTCCCTGGGCACATGGAAACTACAGAAAGGACCACATACAAAAAGCAAACCAACAGTGAGGTAGGAGCCTCTGTCGTGAGTGAAAGGACTGCCCCCCCCCAGGATGACCTCAGGCCACCTGACCCTGGGCTGCTGACCACATGGAGTCTCCCTAATAGTTGCAAGTCCAGAAACTGAATTCTTTTCTTTATATAAAATCAAATGCAAGCAGCTCTGACTTTCCTGCCCTGTCCCGACGGCCGTCCGTGGCCACTTCTGCCCTCGCCACCTGCACTAGTCCTAGTCCTGGCCACACATCTCCCTCCCCATGCACAGGGCCTTGCAGGTGGTGGGGTCACCTCCACGGGGGACATTCAGACCTGAATGGATAGAGCTGGGCGCGCACCTGGCCAGTCCCCCTCCAGGAACAGGTGGCTTCCGTGCCATTAGCGGGGACTGAGAGCCCAAGGGTGCCGTGGCTCGACGGTCAGTGTGCCCCCACCCCCACCGGCCCCGAGGACTGGGACAAAGAGTGGACGGGGGGTGGGGACCTTCCTCCTTCACACACCGGCTCCCACTCTGCCTGGAATCATGTATTAGGATTTTAATAAATGGGTTTTGAAATGACCAATTCAATTCCACATCTGTTTTTTGAGCCCTTCTGTGCTAACTTATTCAACAAACATTTACTGAATGCCGACTGTGTATAAGGCACTGATTCAGTTACTGGGGCGAGCCAAATCCTTCTCTCCAAACGGGGTGGGGGGGCAGATAATTTGCCGGGTGAATCACAGATGCACGTCCACCTGCCTCAGATGTCACCGAACACCATGAGACACGCCGGGCGGGACCGGCCTCCATCCTGCCCGAGGCGCGGGGGGGGGGGGGGGGACCGCGTGAGGAAAGGACGGCAGCCACAGCCCGCCCTCCCCGTGGGGGCGAAAACTCGCCTGCAGGTGGGAGTCAGACTCAAGGCTCTGTGTCACCATGAGTGACGGGAAGGCTGGGAAGGCCGAGGAGGCAGCTACAGCAGAGAGCCACACGGACAGCGCAGGAAGGAAGGGGCTCAGGGTGGGTGGTCACACATCAGGCAGGTGGGAAGGAGGAGCTGAGAGGGAAGAGACAAAACCCCTTGGGGAGCCACAGCTGCCAGGAGAGGATGGAACTAGAGAGGGGCCTGCGGGAGCCAGCAGAGGCTGGCACCCCGGTTGTGGAACACGGGGTTCCCCGTATCTCTGCTCATTCGAGCTCGTTAATGGAGGGGTTCAAGTCTCCTCGGTCAGTCTCTGCTTGCAGCCCGCTGGCCTGCATCAGCGTCCGGAAGGCCCGGCCTCGGCGACCGTGACGACCCCACTCCCCTGTCTCAGGCTCGTTTACTGGCAGCTACTTTAGTGGGTGCACAAGAGGTGAGATTCCCGTACCTCCCTGAAACTGTTTTTCTTCGTTTAATCCTAATAAAATGAATAAGGAAAAGGGGAGAAAGCACTGGACGGCGTGAGGGAAGATGTTTAGCATACACTGAACTAAGGACCAGGGGAAGAGTAAAATCGCACCGCATTTTAGAGAGGCTGGTCACGTTCACGGACATCCAGGGCCACTGCAAGCGGGCCGACCCCCTCTGGAACCGCCCCGGCCCCTCAGAAGAAGGAATAAGCACAGTTCCCTTCTGTGCAGAGATTCTGGGGTGTCAGATGCGTGACATGGTCTTACTCAGATTGTAATTTTATCACCTGAGTCTGGCACTGGTGGCCACGTCCCTAACTCTTCAGGCCCAGCTGGGATTTTAAATACCTGAGCTGATGAAAAGTCGGCGAGTTGCACAGTTCAACTCCAAGCACAGTGCTACTCTTGGAAGCCAGAGGCAAAATCTGAAAAGACCCAGGGGAGGTGGGGCTAGAAGAATAGACATTCTTTGTCCTAAGGAGGCATTTATTCCACACACACCTGCTGTCCTACTGGGTGCTGGGTCATGGCCACGCCAGTGTGACAGATACTGTTTGCTCTCATGGAGCTCAGTCTGGCACAGTGTCCGGACAGGGACACCGGCGAGGACCATGCTCCACCTGACCCCAGGGCACAGTCAGTCACTCCAGACAACCTCTGTGACTGCGATTGGGAGCCGGAACACTCCCTTATGGTCTGTCTGTACAATGGCATACTACGCAGCCAGGCAAAGGAACGAGGCAGCCCGCCCACACCAAGGGAGAAACAAGATCACTGTGCATGTGCAGTCTGCTGCCTTGAGAAAGCTGTAATCCACATGTGTGTACACTAGCTCTGCAGATGGTACTGCTGCTGCCTCTGGGGGAGAAAGTGGGTTAGGAGGGAATATTTTATACGTTCTTGTGTCACTTCTGAATGTTGGTCCATAAACAAAGATTTTCTGCTAAAAACATAAATAAATCATAAAAATTAAAGAGAAAAAAATGTGCAAATATGCTCAGAAATATGTCTGGGAAAGATACACAAGAAACTACTGGTTATCTCTGGGGGAAAAACCAGGGCCTGGGGTGAGGGAGACTGGCTTCCCGTGGCCTCCCCATAATAGGGTTTGATTTTTTTCCCCACATGCACCTATTACCTTAAAAATTGAACACACGTATAACAGCCCACGTTAACCACACACATATCACACTGTGGAGCGCACACATCTGCTCTGACAAGACCAGCATTAAGAGCTGGGTGAAACTGGATGCCTTTACAGGCCCATGACCTGCACAATGTCATCTGTCATCATCTTGGGGCGTGCACCCCAGATCTGGTGAGCACCTGGCATCATGTGCACTCCCCTAGGATGGTGCACGAGAGCCTGATGGGTGCAAACTTCGGACGCCAGCCTTCTAGCCCCAAGACCTGCACAGTGTTTTCTCTCCGTAAAGAGGCTGTCTCAATGGCAGGGACTGCGGATAGATTTCAATGTAGATGCTGCTTCAGTAAGAAGTTGTGCATTTTTTTTTTCCAACAGGAATAAGCAAAGCAATGTTCTTTGTAGCAAACAGACAAGAACGGGTGCCATTTAAAGAACCTAAGACCCCCTACAGTCCCTGCTCCCTGTCGCACAAGGACTCAAACCACGCACTCGACCGCCAGCCAGCTCCCGGAAGATTTAAACAAAATAGCAGGACAGCTGAGTGAGCAGAGGACGGCCACGTGGTGGAAAGGAGGCTGACTCTTTCGGGGGGGCATGGGGTGGCCTTCCCAGCTCAATGCAAGTTGCAGCAAAAAGAACAACACAATCAATGCGGCCTCCAGAACACACACACTCCAAGCAGCTCTTGCGAAGCCAACGATTTCTCCAGCTGAGGCCGGAGCAGGGGAGGCAGGTGGATCGGTCTGTAATGGGCAAGAACGTTCTCTCCGGGAGGCTGCTGCCGTGCTCTGTCGAGTCCTTTCGCACCTGCAGTCATCCCTACTGGCCATTTCTCGGCGGGGAGGGGCCCTCTTCACCCAGCCTCCTGTGTCTCCGCATGAAGCCCACTCGCCCTGGTCCAGGAGCCGCCTGGCAGGCTGCAGCACCTGACCAGACCAGCTTTCCCTCCACACAGGAGCCCGGACCCCTGCAGCCTGCCCCAGGCTCTCCTCTCCCCATCTGCAAGGCTTCACACCCTCAGCCTCATCTCCCTCCGCTCACCCCCGCCTTAGCCCCACGTCAGCCTTGTGGTCCTTGGCCCAGGGGAGCTGGCCTGCCGCCTGCTCCTGAAGCAGAACGCCGCCTGTTTGCGGGGAAGGGCCCTGCCGTTCTGCAAGAGCCAGAGAACACTTTGCTTTTACTAATCACCGGTGTCGCCAGCTCTGAAACAACAAGATTCGTGATAAATATCTAATTTGCAGGGATCTGTGCGACCTCAAAGGTCAAGTGGAAAAGGGGGTGCTGCGGTGTCTCTGCCTCAGGCTCACAGAGCTTGCCACGCTCCACCTCCTGTGCAGTGAGCAGCCAGCGTCCGGCAGGGAGGGGTGCCCCAGCTGGCTCCGGCCAGGAGGACTGGTTTGGGGTGGAGGATTGGGGGCGGGGAGGGCATGTTCTCAAACTTGCAGTGACCAGCTGAGCTCTCGCAGGATTGTAAACGCAGCCTCTCTCCCTCCTGGGCGATCCTACCTGCAGGGGCAGCCCTGTCCCCCGACACCTCCTCTCATGGAGCGCCAGAGCCCATTTCTGCAGACAGGTGCAGCGTGGGCTCACTGAGCGGTCCTGACCCCAGCAGCGCAGACCCAGACCATGAGCACAAGGCTTGTGCCGGGCGGCCGGCCGGGAGGAAGGAGCATCCTCGCCATACCCCCTGGGAACCACCATTAAAGACCATCCTCGGAGAGCAAGAACAGCTCTCATGGGCTTTCGACAACGCCCTGAGGCCTGGGTTTATGAAGTCCTGTGAGAACAGTCAATGTGTGCTGAGCACAGGGGCTTCTCAGCACTGGTGATGACACCGGGCGGGCGGTCCTGCCCGTGGTAACACGGAACGCAGGGCAGTAGATCCTCAGATCCAAATTGTCAAATCTCCCCAAAAGTAACAGGGGTAACTGGGACCGCTGATGTCTGCGCTTACTTCCGACGCGGTGACGTCAATTCCCCAGAGTGTCGAGGTCCAACACTTGCCATGTTCATTGTAATTGTGCTCTTTTTTAAAAAAAAAAAAAAAGATTTATTTTTATTTATTTATGCATACAAGAGCTGGGTTGCAGGCCAGAGGTGCAGGGAGGTGAGAGATTCACCAGAGACAGAGTGGGGAGCAGAACAGGCGGGTCTACTGAAATACACTGCTGAGGAGAGCAGCGGGGACGCAGGAGAGGTCTGCTGCGCCATGCGGGTAGCTCCCTGGCTGGGGATCGAACTCAGGCCGCAGTGGCTACTGAGTAATTGTGCTCTAAGAACACTGGAGTCTGGGCTTAGTGACTTGCAAAGGTTTGTGGCCTCCTAAGCTAGCCCCCT